TTGTGGTGATCCTGGATTGGGGACTTACTCTGGCTTCTTACAGAACATTTTTAAAAGGTATTCATTTTATTGTGAAGTGTACTGGGAGTTCTAATTATTTTTGCAGGAAATAATAAAGTTATCTGTTGACAATACTGAGATGGCTCACTTTTTCCTCTTGATGGAAGACATCTGAAGTTAGATGAGACATCTTCTACCCATGATAGTCATGGCTTTGTTTTTTTGATGACTCTGGCTTACAAACTTCACATTCTAAACCATGAGTGCTCTAAAATGTCCAGAACACTCTTAGAATAATTTTGGATTTTTTAATATTGCTGAAATAATTTATAATAATTTCTTTTTGATGCTTCATTTCCCAGAGCAAATCTACCTGTATCTTTCACTGCTTCAGTCCTCTATCACTCTCTTCATGCCATAGAACACTACCGTTTCGAAGCACAAGACAACAACTTTTAGAAGGAAAGATACAGTAAAACCAAAGTTTAAACAATGATGATAAAAATCCCATCTTAAGGCTATAAACAATCTGAAGCAATATATACTAGGCAGTGTATTTTGAGACAGATGCAATACAGCCACATAGTGAACTGAGTTGGGTGAAGTTTGTCCCTATAATGCCTGCCACAAAACACTTGATAAGATGCTTTTGTACAAGCACAACATAAATCACTCTGATCCACCTTTCAGTCAAGTGTTGGGCTTTTGGCATCCGTTGTTTAGCCCAGTGCATGCAGTAACTCCAGATTAATTAGTGTTGACTCCAATTCCTCCCATATATCTTTAGATTTACTCGATTTCCTGAACGATCACATAGAGGGATGCAGAAGGTTTTCAAACTCAAACTTCTTCAGAACAAATAGATGCTACCCAGCTGACCTGGAGGCTTCAGAGAGTGCTCTTGTCAAAGGAGCATTCAGCTCCACAGGACAGAGAAAACCACTATTTTAGGAATCACTTTTGCCATTATCATCTCATGCTATTAATTTTAATATATGTTGTGGTTGTGAAATCATTATGAGGATAGCTAATTTGGGAAGTTGGGGGGATTTTTTAGAAGTCTGTTAAGTGATTACTCTTCCCAATAAATGAATGCCTCATATTTTCATAGCTTTATGTGGCCTGTAAAGCAAGGAATTTAACCTCCCAGTTTTTCAGATGTGTTCATCACCAAGTTTTTTAGGTTTGAATTGCCCTAAAAATGACAGCTTTTATTAAGTTCTGAGTAGGAATGGAGCAATAATAATTTGAACTTCTTTTCATTTCAAAAAGGACATGAAAATAACAGGTTCAGGTTTGCTTTGGTACAAAGAAGCCACAAATCAGACTAGTTTTCAGTTTTATTGCCTTGTTAAAAGTGTAAGGAGCTCAAGCAGCCACCTCCCTTGTAACTGTTTTTCAAACACATCTCTTAAAAGGTTTTTAAAAGAGTATTTCAAAAGCATTTCACTTTTCTTTTTGTTTTTGTAATGATGACCAGGACTACCTGAAAGCCTTTGGGAAAGGTTTGCAGGATAACCAGAATACTAACACAACTAATTATGGACCAATCTCTTTCCCAAAATAGATTTCCCCCACTAAACCTCTTCAGGTAAATAGCCTGTGTCTGTGCCTGACAGCCCGACGGCCAACAAGGTGATGACATACTTAAGCAAAAGTACAAGTCCCTGATTGGTTGAGCTATTTTGAGCATGCCAAGCATGTCAGGACAGAGGTTCACATGCAAGAACCACCAGATTTCTCCACCATACTTTTCTATATGTCCTTTTGCACAAAGGTGAATTTTGTCCATCTTCAGTGCACAAATCAACTCCAACAGCAGCAAGAACCAGAGAAACGACCTATCAGGAGCCTTTTAAAAGGGAAAATTACTTACCCACATGACCAATCTGTGCAGGAGCTAAGAAGAAAAAGGGAGAAAATGTTACAAAATGTCACAACTCAGCCCTGTTATCTTCAGAGAGAATAAAATGCAAGGAGAACTCACTCACCTGCCCATTGCTTCCTTTGTATAGGACAGTTTCTGCAAAACAAACAAACAAGTCCTAAGTATATTTGAGTAATATAAGTTAAAAGGAATTGAAATGCAGTGTCACCCTGAGGAGGGCTTGCCAAAATATTGATTTCAGTTTGCTTTTCATCATGTTCTTTCACCAACCTTTATTATACAAGTACATTAATTGAAGCATTTGGAGATAGTCTGTAAAACTAAGACACAGTTTTAGATACCAGTTTTAAGTGAAAAAGAAACTAGGTAGTCTACAGTGAAAACTCTACCTTGGATGTAAAACTAAGACACAGTTTTAGATACCAGTTTTAAGTGAAAGAGAAACTAGGCAGTCTACAGTGAAAACTCTACCTTGGGGCCACTAAATCTGTACTGGATTTTAGGTAGCTCTTTAAGTCATTACACTTGTACTCAGCTTTAGTGCACTGGGATCCACAAGGAACAGAGTCTGATCACCTCTTTACAAGGTTTTGGAAAGTAAGTAGTAGCTCATACAGTAAAAAGTGTTTGTTCATTAGAAAAGGAGACCTTCCATAGTCAGTCATGACAGTTTGTAGGTGCTATTAAAAACAAACCTGGTTATTACAGGCCTCACACATCTTTTCAATACCCCCTGCTAGTCCCCACCCAGCAGCTATAGTCACTGGTCCACAAAGGGCATTGACAGCAGAGGTCAGTGTAGCCCTGACCACTTCCTAGAGCAAGGGAACACAGACGCCCCAGCAAGGGGTGCCTGGACCAAAACTCTGTTGCAGGGCAGCCTGAGGAGCTGCTGGCTCACAGATTTCCTGAGCCTGGATCCCTTGGTTATTTCCATCTAGTCAATAAATTGTAAGATGAACTTAAAAGAACCAAACCTGAAGTGTCAAGTTATTATTGTAATGGTCAAGGCCTAGAATAACAAACACTCTACACTGTCTCCGTATCTGTGTTTTTTAAAAGGCATCAAATTATGTATTATTGTAATGGTCAAGGCCTAGAATGAGAAACACGTAACACTGTCTCCATATCTATGTTTTTTAAAAGGCATCAAATTATTAAGTTCTTAGACAATTTCATAGTAAACTATCACAGCCTAATAGTGTATAATTGCCTTTGAATGATAGGCTCTGCATAGGGTAGCTGGATTATTACTTAACTCACCTAGCTCAGGACAGAATGTTCTCTCTCCATTGCAAATCACATATTCAGTGTAATAAAGTAACTTTAAAGGATTATGTGCTTTAAATGACTGTTTAAATGACCAGACTTTTCACCACGCTTTCTCAGATGAAATATCCCGCTGGATTCAACAACAGCTTTGCAAATAATGGCAAAAAATCTGACCTTATATTTGATTGCTATACAATGCTGGGAAGCTAACCCAAACAAACAGAAAAAAACCCCAAAAGCAAACACAAACAAACCCAAAACCATAAACTTTAAATTACAAATGAGTTGATAAAAGAATGACCAGTCGCCCATTAAAACCCATATGCAAAGTTTGCACACAGATGATTATCACCTTGCAGCTTTATATCATGGGTAAAATCTTAGGGTTTACTGTAAATTCAAAAGGAAAGTATGATCTCAATATCCAGTCTTCAGTTTCTTACAGTCTACAGAGGACTGAAAAACAGATCCACATGTTTTGGATCAGTCCTACAGACTGAAATATACAACTAGTGTTTTATAATGTTAAATGCAGGTTTTTTTCAACCAAGGATGTGAAAATTAAGCACAGTGCAAAACTAGCACGGTCTGCAATAGTTTGTAGTGTGACTGTCTTCCTCTCTGTTAAATGTCTAATTTGCATTCCAGTCTGGGATGAGGACAAAGACTGACATGTTTGAACTTCACGGCAAACACGCACTTTTTCCCCTAATTAGAAGCCAAGGGCTCTAGAGTTCTAATATTGGCTTGTTTTCTCATTTAGTACAGAACAGCCTTTGCCAAACCACCATGTTTTCTCATTTAGTACAGAACAGCCTATGCCAAAACACCGCCTCTCTGACTCAGTTCCTTCATTAACAAGATGGAGTTAGAAACATACCAACTGCAGAAGGACCTGCAAAGATTATTTAAATGTCTTTACCCCTTGAATACTTGAAATGATCTACAAATAGCTCTACACAGCAGCAGCCACACCAAAGCTCAAGGGGAGCTTTTACTCAGTGAAGCCACTTCTGGCAGATGCTTTGTACAAAATCAGTTCTCTTTGAAGTGAGACCTTCCTAACATTATTGTTATACCAATTCTTCTAAAGTTGTGAGCTGAGTTTTGTGTCCATTGCATTAATGCTCCCCTTTCTCAACAGTTAGCTTTATATAATGCAAATTTTCATAAATTAATACAAGTCCAGCATCAAATACAGGTTACCACAATACCACAAATCACATACAGCACCGTGAGCTTCTGTCAACTCATGAACTTGCAGAAAAGCATTTATATAGGATACCCTTCCCTGACCTTAAGAGACAATTGTCATGCACAGAAGACAAAATATCTTGGATGTAACTGCCGGCAGGAGAAAAAGGTGGAGGAAATGTCAAGGCAATCTGAAATAAACTCATATTAGTTTAGACCCATTTGTGTAGTACTGTACCAAGCATATTTGAATTAACCCACCCATACACATTATTTACAACAGGAAAATCATACCAAGAAATTATCCTCTCCCTCCCTGTCCACAATCCTCACCATGGTGCATGGTAAAACCATGCTCTCATAGAGGCAAGGCCACAGCACTGGGGGTAATTCAAGGAAATGAATGACAATGTCCAGAACTGGAGCTGGACATAGGAAAGGCCAGAATGGGGAGCATCCCTGAGGCATATCCCTGGCAGGTAAGGTAAAAATATGGTCTACAGTGAGTAGGAGGAGAGATGGCAGGGACAGCTTAGAAGAACTGATATTGTTTTAAACATGTTCAACTTGAAATGAAGGCTTTTTATTGCATCCATAAGGAGGAACGGGGAGTGTGAAAGAGCAGACAGGATCTGATTTTTTCCAGATTTAGAAACTGGAGGTGTTCTGTGCAAAGAAAAAAAAAACACCTTAAAGGACTGGAAGCTGTGGTTAGGACATTTGATTAAACAGAAAAAGACAATGGTTAGCAAGGAAGATCACATAACAGGAAGAGACAGAAGAGGTCTTTCTGCCTCAGAGACCTTAGGAAGCCAAAATCATCTGCTTCTGTAAGGTATTCAAACTACTTCATTGGGATGCTAGATGCCACCTTTGAACACAACTCTCAGAATTCAGACAAAATCACTTGGTTTACATTTATAAGTGCCAATTTCAGCATGCTAAAGAGGGATTTTGTACTACTCCTTAAAGCATCTGAAGGCAGGGTTGTCTTTTGCTATTTTTACCCTAATCTATCACCGAGCAGTTAGTCTGTCCTGCAAACACATTGAAACAGAACTACTGATGAGCTGGAAAGTCCATACTAACAAAAATAATTCTAAGTGGGATTTGTATCTTGTCCCAGCAGCTTTTCAAGTTGCCTCCTATCACAGTTTTGGGGATTCCTAGGGAAACTGTCTGCCTTTTAGTTCTTGAAGCTGTACTACCAACTCATTTCCACAGCTCACTCTCAGCTTAACTCTTGCCTCTCAGACCCACCATAAGGTGCATACAGCACAAATCTCCCTCTCACCAGCAACTGAAATCACACAGACCTGCTTGTTTGGGAAAGGATTCATAACCTAATCCAAGTTGTCCTATCTCATTTGCCCAACACTGTCAGATATGCTTTGTTTTAGACATAGGGATATA